TGTCTGAAGAAAGGAGTGGGACTTAAGGAAATCTACAGACTGCTTAAGTTAAGTACTGTGTTAAATACTAATCCCATCTCCCTTACAAAGGTGGAAATCCCCTTCCGAGGCGCAGTTTAGGCACCGTTTTAAATACCGCACCACTTTACGGAAACAAGGGTCTTTTACCGAAGATCGGTAAGTTTATTACCTAGCATACGACTGCCGGGGGGAATCGATATGGCGCTGTGCATGGCTATTCTACACCGCTGACTGCTTAGTGGGAATGACATACACAGAAAGACGTCTGAAGAATGCCACAATGATTATTGTATTTCAGGCGCCATCGGTGGCTTTCTTTATCCAGTCACCATTCCTCAGACCACAGGTGCAGTGGATACCATGATTTCACTGAGGATAGTTTCTTTATCATCCTTCAAGAACTGAAGCCAGCGGAAGGTGCAAAACTACCAACTAGAGGGAGAAGCAGCCGCACTTCTTGTTTCATTTTCACCCTGCCAAAGGAGGAATCCTCTGCGGATAAACCTAAAACGCCCTCATGGGCAGTGGTGGGTGTGAGATCGGGATCTGGTATGCTTGTGACACAGACCTGACTCATCCCGTTCACATGCTAGGGTTGATACAGGCGGATTTACGTCTTTGTCGTTTCCAGGCTCTGGAACAGATCGGTTAGGAAACCGGATTTGATCGACAGGATATAAATGCTCGCTGGATTTTCATACAAGAAAAAATGGCGCGCAATATAAGCTAGTTTGCTTCAACTTCAATTGCGAGGTGTCGAAAACATCCATTCATACCTTTAAGCGCTTGGGATCGAAATAAAACTACTGAATCAAGGGTGAGAAAAACGTTTTAGTTTACCTACCAACAGATCAGGCAACCAGCAAAAGGCCTCGAGAGGTGATGGACACCGGTACCAACATCTGCCCACCGACACGCCACACTCTGTCGGGCCAAAGCAGGAATTTTAGAATTGGTAGGCATACGGGCTGACTGGTAGAAAAACTGATATGACAGAACATCCAGGTGGTGAATGCCCACACAATTACGCGTCAATAATGGGATCTACAGGCAGTTATTGGGATCTCATATTCATCGGCCTCTTCGAGCCTGGAAATAGTGATTTAGGAAATTATAAAGATGCATCACTGATCTGGTAGCCACTGTAGATAGTGGGGCAAGCATTTCTAATTCATGAAACAGAACAAAGCAATATACGTGATCCTTTAGTCCTTTGTCAGCGTTATCTACACACAACTCGTCATTAGAAACAAGTCATTGGAAATGGATCTACCATTGTTGTTTAGGCAATAACTCATTGCAGCAACATTCTCTCCAAGGGTGTAAGACTTCTGATGTGCCTAATGGGCGAGGCATTCCGGTGAATTCCTTCAGGGTGCCGCACTGTTGTCCCTTCCGCTCCTGGGATACATGCATAGTCTGCATCCGCTTCATTCCTAAATGCCAGTAATACACAGGCATGGAAAGAGGTTAGATATGTAAAGATTGGCTTGCCTCCCCAGATGATTTGATTCGGCTTCCGTTTTCGGTTTTCCGTTGATAAGAATCTGGAGGGCATATCTACAGTTTGATGCTTGACGCTGAACCAGCGATACCGAGACCCAGGTACGTTCGCGGAATAGGATCTTATGGCAGTGCCCTGCTTTTTGGTTATAATATTATTTAGCGGTTTTGAATTTTAATCCATTGGAGTCGATTCGGGCTACCGAAAGTTTCTACTAAATACACGCGTCAAATTCTCCGCTTTCACTTTGTTTTAACCATTTGGCTGTGTTTTCTAAGCGTGACATGTACTCTTGCACAGCTTTGGAATGTCTTCAACGAGCCATTCGGCTGTCTGTGGAAGGACGCTAGTCACGGCCGACTTTCTGATCAGTTTATGTTTTGGAACTTGAAGTGGCCTATAGAATTTCAGAAAGGAATAGCAGTTGATTTTCCTCCGATATGCAAGCTGTTTTTGGTGATGCACACACACTATTGTGATGGAAAATACGCAGCCTGTGTTCCAACTAAATGTGATGCTCTGAAGCCGTTTCTCAAGTAGATAATAGAGCGAAGAAAAACCTTTAACCTTAGTTTTCAGTAATAAAAATGGTAGGCTTGTTGGTCTGCGTTAGTCCTTGCGGAAGATATCCCTGTAGAGATCTGGTTTCTCCTTGAACGCGTTGACCGAATATGCTGGTAATACTTGCTGAGGTAAGGAATTGCAGTCACTGACCACAAGATGGGAAAAGTGCAGATAATTCAATCGCTGTTTTTTGGTTTCTTCGCGATACTCTTCGAGATAAGCAATTCTCTCTGGAGAAAAAGCATTGGTTACAGCAGTAGTGAAGCCATTATCTAGGGCATGGAATGCCAGCATGGTATCATCCGGTTTTCTACTGTAGGATGGTGAGACTCAGTCTACCCGATCTGTTCCTTCCCCACGCGGCAGATTAGAAAGGCCTGTTACGGGCTTAGCGCCCACCCTTCGAAAGCTTCCTGGTACGCCAGCATTCTTTTTTAGATGTAGGCTTGCCGCCTGAAAGCAGTATCTCAAATGAGTTCGAATGAAAGTATAGTGGAGTATCCCAAACATATCATGATCAAAACTTTTGTAAGCCCTGTGAGTGATCCACAATGCACAGGAGCCCACTGCTCCACCTGCATTACAGCGCACCGAAGCTTTCGAATCGTGGCTTAAGTTAAAACCCAGATGTTTCAGTTCAAAGAGTGGAGGTAGTGGTTTACTGTCATGGGAATACAAGAACAAACTATTATGAACGATGTACATTATTGCACTTTCACTACAGTTGATCTTCAGGCATCAGCGCTTGAAACAGCCTACCGGTTCATCCAAATCCTCTTCAAGTCCTTGCTCATCAGCAAAACTACGTGTGGCCCTCCAAACCCTTGCATTTTTGGTGAATGGCAGCATCGAAGAGTTGAGCACTTGTGGTTACTCGTTGACATATAACTAGAAAACTAGGGGACCTAGGATTGCCCCTTGAGGAACTCCATCCAGCTCAGGTTTCCACACAGAAAGTGTTTCATTAACCCCCACTCTTTGCCCCCTATAGTACAGTAGGCCCTTAATCCAGGCTTTCAATCCACCACGGGACCTGAAAGAGGAGGGCTATCCTGGTATTTTCAGGAGAGACACGTAATGGAATCGCTTATCGAAGTCCATAAACACGTATCTGTTGGAAGCTCGTAGTTACGGGCTGCAACCCATTCTTTTCACTTTGTGAGGAAGTTTGTTTTACACGAGTGTCAGGTCTGAAAATCATGTTGCTATGGTGGCGAAAGATTATTTATTTAGGCGTGTTTTAGTACCTTATCAGGAATTATTTTCTCGAACTTTATAAACGACGTTGGTTAGATTGACATGGCAATGGTTAGCCACCAAGCAACAACCATGGGCTTTAAAAACCAAGCGGATTACAGCACATTTACTGTCTCTTTGATGGTGAGTTGGGGATAAGGATATATTTGGAGATTAGTGGACGGCACAGACACTATCTTCACCTGTAAAGACTACAGTCTGAGGTGGAATCACTGGGACCTGGAAATCGTCTGGATTAAAAATTAATGGGCAATTGTAAGACTGTTACCTTTGTTGTGAACACTGTACTCATTGGTGGGGTAGTGCTTACACTACCACTAGGAACCTCATAGTAGTGCTCCACAGAGAAGACCTCACCAAAGTAAGCCAATAGGTAATCAGCTTCGGACAGACTGAACGCCACCAGGCTGTCAGACCCTTCATCTATCACCGGAAGAGAGGTTTCGCATTTACTTTAAGTAGTTCTGATGAATCGAGTAGTCCTTCAGGTCAGTTTTGGGAATCATTTGCAAGCTGTCTTGCTCAAGGCATTCGAACTTGTGCAACCAAAGTTTTGCAGAGAATATGGACTTGACAGTACGCAGTTTCAAATCTTTCGATCCCAGCTTCTGTCAACGGGTCCCACAGACATTTTCTCGACCTAAACGGTTTCTGAGTTCATTTATTAAGCCGCGAGAAGGATGCTAGGATCCTCCCGGAGTAGATCGTGGAATAGACAGTATCGTTGCCTCTAAGAATAGCGTTCTAAACCCTACGTAGCAGCTCGGACAGCGAACATTCATCGTATTTTCCCCCCTTGGATGTCAGCTCGAATTGCGGATCCTTGTATTGGTTGACCGAACCGTAACCATCAAAAAAACGTTTAACCTTCTACCCACCCTTCATTCTAGGTCATGGGCCAATCCAAAGCCAGTTACAATGATAACATCACCCGGTTCTAGTTATCATTCCGTTTGAAACTATTGTCCCGCAGGACTACCATGGCGGTGAGTGTGT